GCACGTTGGTATGGGTTTAAATCAAAGTCTGGGCCCTCGTTGCGATAAATTGTGGTTCCCAGAGCCAAATTCCCACTTATAATAAGATCACCAGGCTTGTAAAACGTCTTTGGAATAAATGCAAGCCTTGGCATGACACATCTGGTTTGCATCCTCTTTGTAGAAGTTGGAGGCAGGAGCCAGCAGAGCAGCAGCAGCAGCAGAAGAGGCAGCCAAGTCATTCTTGTCACCTTCCCACCTAGATCAGAAATCATGGTTTGTGCAGAAGCTGAATTGCAGGTAACACTTGAAATCTCAGCAGAGTTTAAGCACAATAGACACCATCCATGCCACTTGGACAACCCAGGGCAAATTTATATTGGCAATGTTCCCCCTTATCTGTGTTTGGGCTCTGACCAAAGAGGCAACGAAAACCTGTGAGCCTCTTCAAACCCAGGTGTTATCTCTTTGCAAGACCAGGTTACGTTACATGTCCGGCCCCCACCTGGAGGACTCAGATATTTTTTAAAACAGGTTTCATCTCAGAAGATTTTTCTGGGTAGAAATCTACAGGGGATACATGAAGAATTACTGTTCTTCTGATAATTGCAAGGAAAAGCCATTGTCCTCCCCCCCCCGAGCAACAGCTTCTCTTCATACGGCAGAATGGAAAACATGTTTGTGCCTCTTCTCGCAATGCACAGAGCACATGGACTTGAGAGTCATGGTGGACTTGTGTACTTGACCTGGATGAAACGGAGTCCCTGCAGACAAGGTGGATTTTGGGCTGTTTGTTCAGATAGGATGAGTGCTAATGGGGCATGGCAATCAGCTGTACCCTGGTAATTGAGATCAATCATACCAAGTTATGGAATAACTAGTTTATTATCAATGGCAGTGGATGAAATTAGAAAGTGGGGTAACAAGAATGGATCCATACTGTTACTTGGTTCTCTCCTTTATCTGAAACTAGTTCCATTCAACGTTGGTTGGAAGGGAGAGATTCAGCCCAATACCCCCATTTTCAGGGTCCATCAGTAAGGCTTTCTTAGTTCAAAGTCAAGTATCATCCTTATGCTGATGATATTCAATTGTGCAACCGTTGAATGACCAAGCAAGGCTGTCACCGTTTTGCCCTAGTGAGTGAAAACTGTTGGATGGAAATGAACAATCTCATTTTGAATCCAAACAAAACTAAGGACTTGTGGATGATTGGTTCTCCCACAACTGGAACTTTTCATCTTTGTTTCTGTATGACGTTGCACCATCATGCTTAGGACTGCTGGGCATTCGGGGGTCTTCCTGGACTCTCAGTTCCTGCTCAAGGACCAGTATGGTAGCCATGGCCAGGAAAGTCTTGGTAAATCTTTCATCTTTCAGATGCGAAAGATCCAGAACACACATGAAGTTCCAATTAAATTGATTTATTAATACCCCCCCCCCCAAAATCATGAACCACAGCATACTGGACAATTTTGGTGGACCCTGGATGAAGCAAATCATCCAGGCCCTTTCAGTGAGGATTCAGGCCTGGGTATGGGATGGAAACGGCATTAGGGTGGTATAAAGACTCCTGCCTCAGCCAGGAAGTTGGACCTCCAAGGTCCCTTCCAGCTCTCTGTTTATAGGATTCTTTCTGAGGAACCATCTCACCCCAATGGTATTATCGTGTTTCCCCAAAAATAAAACCCTGTTTTATATGTTGTTGTTTTTTGCCACCAAAAAGGCACCAGGTCTTTTTTTTTAAAAAAAATTTATTGTATTTTTATTGTTAAAGAGTAACAGAAAAAAATAAAAGAAACAATACAAAAATCAATAGTAAAGAAAGAAAAAAATTTTCCCCTCAATGTGCTATACAAATGGAAAGGAAGTTTTAGGAAATTAAAGTCTTCAATTCTTCCAAAAATCTCTTTGATAAGGTACTGGCGCCGATTCATCCAATCTCCCAAGTGCAAAGTCCACAAATGGTTGCCAAGTGTTCCAGAAAACATTCTCTTTGCATATACCACTTCTAATTTTAATATCACAAGTCAATTTATCATTTAATGCAAATTTCCATGTTTCATTATACCATTCTTCTAATTTTAAGTCAACATTTAATTTCCAATATCTAGCAATTATAATTCTCCCCATTATAACCAAAATCCTCACCAATTCTCTTTCTCCAGTTGTTAATGTTGTTTCATTCAATATTAATAATATTATGGTTTCTGATTTCAATTTGACCCTCTTCTTAATCATTTCAAATATTTCATTTTCTATCCTAGACCAAAAAAGTTCAACCCCATTACATTTACACCACATATGAGCATATGTCCCGAGTTCCACTTTACATCTCCAACACATTTTATCCACTTTATTATCCATTTGAAAAAGTCTTATTGGGGTCAGATACCACTTCCCCAGGTCTTATTTTTGGGGTGGGGGATGTCGTCCACAGACTCACCTCACTTGTGCGTGTCACCCCCTGGCCTCCTTTTTGCTGTCAAAGGCCTTCAGGAAAGCCTTCCCAGCCTTGCCAGCTGCAGAAGTTCCTGAAGGCCTCTGACAGCAAAAAGGAGGCCTTCAGGAACTTCTGCAGCTGGCAAGGCCTCGGCAGTTGAGAACAAAGCTCCAGCTGTTATCGGCTGCAGAGGCCTTCAGGAAAGCCTTGCTGGCTGCAGAAGAAATGAGCCCCAAGGCAGGTGTCAGGGCATGCTTGGCATGGCTGCAATTGTCCAAAGGTAAGTAGTAGGGCAGCTCCACCCCCACCCCCATTGCCACCCTAGCTTAATTTTTAACCAGAGCATCCTGGAGTGGGCAGGATCTTAATTAGGGCTTGTTTTGGGGGTAGGACTTATATTGGGCACACGTGTAAAAATCAAGCTAGGACTTACTTTTGGGGTAGGTTGTCTTTTCGGGGAAATATGGTAGTATTAGTCCACTACAATTGATTCATTAAAATGGACATACTGCAGGCCCTCTTGGTCAGACTTTTGGCTGATCGAGTCTAGAAGGAGAACTTTTTCTGCCATGGAATATCTTGCCAGCTGAGGTGAGGTCTGTCCCCTCCCTTCTGGTCTTCCAGAAGGTTATTAAAAACTGGCTCAGTCAGTTAGCCTGTTGCCCTGATGGGGGAACTCTGTGTTGGAGACGGCTGGTGGATTGACAAAGAAGATGGTGCCGTTGTATAAATTTTGCTCCCTGACTCAATTTTTAATGTTTTATATTTATGATTCTAATTGTAGCCACCCAGTTGCTTTGCAGAGTGAGAGAGTGGCATATCAATTTAATAAATGAATGAATGAATGAATGAATGAATGAATGAATGAATGAATGAATATAATTTTCTCTCTGTCATTTATATATTTCTGGAGTCCTTGGTGTTCTATGAGCTTGGTTGTTTGTTTGCAGACATTTCAGATACTAGTGAGTGTTGGGATTGTTTCCTGTTTATATCCAGTAGCTTACTTCTCAGTGTTGATGGGGGTATGATTTTTTTCTTGGTAGTTCCTTGATTAGGATATTGTTTTCTGTTTGTTTGTCTGGTGTTAATCCATGCTTATCTGGGTGTTGCCTGCTGGAGAGGATGTGCTTTGCTCTTTTAGTTTCCTTCTTAGCTGTTTTTTAAATATACTTTATTAAATTTTTCCATTACAAAAAAAAAAATGTAAAATCTCTACGACCTTCAGAGGCACAGTGTTTATACATATTAAGAAGTCATACATCAAATATACTTCATCCTTAGCTATTCAAGATTATATTTACAAGTTATGCGTCCAGTATATTTCACCTTTTAGATACGTAAACTAATCACGTCCTAAAATCATGCTTTTATCCTATTCTTTAACCATTTATACCAATTTCCCCATACTTCATAATATTTAGATTTCTCATCATTATTTAATTCACTCATCAGTTTTGCCATTTCTGCGCACTCTAAGATTATATTTATTAACATTCCTTCTGGTGGTATGGTTTTATTTTTCCAGTACTTCGCTTTTTTATTGTCACAACCCTTTGTCGGCTCAAAATCACTGTTGTTGACATCTATCTGACAAATGTAAACAGCATCATCAAACACTTGGTAAGCATCATCTTGAGCAGGCCTGTCAAAGTGGGGGCCTTGCACAGTCCACGCCCACCCTAGCTCTGCAAAGGCAAAAAACCATCGCAATAGATCACGAGACAGTCCACGATGCAAGAGGGTTTGAAACCCCTGATCTTGAGTGATGGCTATTTGGAGAAAGAAATTGATTCCAAAATCAGAAAGGCTAGCCAGGTGCTGGTTCAGCTGTGTACTAGAATGCTCAATCGATACAATATTTGTATCAGCACAAGATTCAGGGTTTTACAATTTTTAAATGTCATGGGGGACATTAACCATCTGCAAGGCTAAAACATTCATGTTACCTCTGACATCCCTCCAATCCCTCAAAACCGCAACCATAGTCATCCCTTCTCCCGAGGCTCTAGCTCTGAGTGTCAGAGTTGGAATCCCACTGGACCACATCTGGTCTCCGGATTGTACATTTTGGGAGCCATTTTTTTATGATGAAAACAAAGATCGGGGGGCATGACATAAAAAGTTGCAACAGGGACATGGAACCGAGATGCAGCAACCTGAAGCAGTTTGGTCCACCTTCTCAATGACTCCATTTATTTCTTTAAAAGTTTCAATCTGTTTGCTTGGGTTTAATGGGGAAGTTGGGAGAGGAGCCGTCATTTTAGGGTTTTGTTTTTTCATTTCTGCAAGTTTTCCAGTTCTTTCACACCCCTTGAGATCACCTTGTATATGTACATGGTGCTGCTTGGGTCTTAAAATCCTCGACTTAAGTCTGTAGTAGAGTTTTCCCATTAGTGTCTCAAGCAGTGAAACCTGTTAAGCAAGACGGCCATGTTTAACAACCCCCCATCCCTGGCTCTCCCTGATGTGTTTTGGTTAAAAAGCACAGATCTTTCTCTTTCCATCTTTGAATGTGGAGGTGGGATCGTAGAAACACCCAGGAGCATAGAAGAGTTCAGAGGCAGATGCATAAATAAATGTCTTAAACGTATTTATTCATATAATAAATCATATTAACTATGTACAACAGAGATCGAGTCTCATGAGGAACAAACATGAAAAGAGAGAGATGGAGAGAGTGAGGTGGAACAGGTTGGAGGGGGTTTTATACTCAGGGTAAGCCCGTCCTTTCCACACAGGGGAGGAGACACTCTCTGCCTCCACTCGTGTCTATATGACACATGTGCCAATGGCTTGCAAATACTTGACATTGAGGAAGTTTAACATGTGATCAATCAATCAGTAAAAATAAGAAATATGGGGAAAATATGTTGTAATACATTAAATTTAAATGTAAGACGAAAGATAAATGTGTACTAAGAAAATCATGATAAATGTTGAATATGATGACACCAAAAATTTTGTACCCAGATGCTACACTGATTAATGACAAATTGTTTGTTTAAAAATAAAAAAAAAATTGTAAAAAAGAAAAAGAAATATAAATGAGGCAGATTCATATATTACTTAGAAATTCTTATTCCTTACTATATTTTCTCTACAATTCAAATCTGGCCTCAGTAGAATAATAAAGCATTTGGGGAAAAAGATACAAGCCAAGAGAGCAGCTCCAGAGGCCAAAATGGAGAAGATCTCCACAGCCACCATGGACTTCCCTTTGGTGCTCAGGTAAGTGGGGAGGAAAGAGATCCAAACACTGCAAAAGACCAGCATGCTAAAAGTAATGAACTTGGCTTCATTAAAACTATCAGGCAATTTCCTAGCCAGAAAGGCCACTGTGAAACTGATGACGGCCAGAAAACCTAGATAGGCAAGGACAATGTAAAACATTACAGCTGAGCCTTGCTTACATTCCAAGATGGTCTCTCCAAACAAGGAGTGGAAGTCCAAGTTTAGAAACGGGGGAGAGGTTCCCAGCCAGGTGGCACAAAGGACTGCTTGGATCAGGGGACAGGCTATGACAATGGAGTTGGTCAGTGGTTTTCCTAAGAGTTTCCTTGTCTTGTTCCCTGGTTTGGTGGCCATGAAGGCCAGAACCACCATGACAGTTTTTGCCAACACAGAGGAAACTGCAAGGGCAAAGAGAATGGCAAAGGCAGATTGTTGGAAGAGACAGGTGAGCTTCCCTGGTTGACCAATGAAGAGGAAGGAGCAGAGGAAGCAGAGCAGGAGGGAGGCCAAGAGGATGTAGGTGAGATCTCGGTTGTTGGCCTTGACGATTGGTGTGTCATGATGTTTATAGAAAATCACCAGGACTGCAGAAGTGATCACAGAGAGAAAAAGAGCAAGAAAAACTAAAATGTATCCCAGGGTGTCTTGATAGGCAAGGAAGTGGATCTTCTTGGCAATGCAGTGGTCCTTGTCCTTGTTGGGAAATTGGTCTTCTGGGCAGGGTTCACAGTGAGCTGCATCTGAAATCAAGAATGTTTGCCTAAGGACTTCTTGAACAACTATCATGCACATTATACCTTCCGCATAAATGATATGAGTGTTGCCTTTCTGCTGTTGACCTACCTACAAAGGGAGTGATGAAAGAACCCCTGTGCAATTTCTGGGACATCAAAAAGGGCAAATCATTCTTCATTTATGATGATCTTGGCAGTAGATTAGCCAGAGACAAGGATTTATTCAGTTCCAGCTATCCATTCACTGTGCAATTCCATGACTTTCAGTTTTTTTCCCTACCATTTTATAATGGAACCCACAGAAGACAGACAGATCTATTAACCAGGAATTCTGGTGCTTTGTTTGTGTGTACATTATCCCTGCCTTGACCTCTCTGCTTTGTACTTCAAATCTGTTCATTCAGACTTCTTTTCCTCCCTCCTGCTCTATCAAAGAGACGTAAATAAATGGATCTCCTCTTTCTCTGGCAGGTCTATTTCCTCAGAGGTTGATAGAGATGCCAGAAGAAGCATCCTCTAAATAATCAAATAAAAGCTTGGACCACATGCCCCGCTTCCTCAGGAAAAGACTGAAAGTTGGTTTCCTGATTGGGTGTGAAAGTAGAAGCAGAAATGGATGTTGGGGACTCATAAATTGTGTCCTTGGGAATTGGGAAAGGTGGCTTCTGTGGCCAGGGCAGTTTAGTTCTGTAAACTGAAAGGTTCTTTTGAAAAGTATGAGTGCATGTCAGTTTTATCAAAAATGGCACAATAATAAAAATATATTGATTTAATGAATGTCTTCCTTGATTCTGGAAGATTTAAATTTGAAGTCTGCTCTACCTGTCTGATTAGAAATTGTCCCTTCTGGACAAGCATCACAGTGGTAGCAGCAAACCTGCTTTCCCTCTGGAACTCTTCTCCTCTCTCCTGCATGGCACCTCTTCCTTCCACACCTGGCAATGGGGATGGTCTGAAAGAGAAATACTTGAAATTACTTAAGCAATCAACCTGCTGCATTCATTCTTTTCCCCATTCCTCCTTCTATGTTCAGAAGAAATACATTTATCTATACCATCTATCAGAAATATGGAACAGCTTCTGAGGGATTCAGGACACTGGCATTTCTGACATATCAACAGATGCTGGAGATTGGAACTGGGGTTTCATCCTGCAGAGAAAGGCTTGCATAACTAAAATAAAGAACCATGAGAATACAACTGAGTGACAATGGTCCATGGAAATCACTGCTACTTGCTGTAATTGAATACTATATTTCAAGCAGATGTTGTTCCCAAGCCTAACCGTTGGTGGAATGACACAAATCGGACCTCAAATGTGTTAAATGCAAGGCAGATTTTTTCACCAATTAACTGCCATAATTTCTGACTCAATTGATTATTTTCCAGTTAGAAAGATATTCTGCATCTCAGGAAGAGAATGAATCTTTCTCTGAACTTTCAACATTTCCTTGCAGCTCACCTTTGTGGCCCAAACGATTCCACCAGATTTAATGGTGAAATCCTGGCCTGGAGGAGCATCAGGATTTACTTGCCCAACCTTCATGGGGACAAAAGATTGATTGGGGAGGAAAAGCCAGTTGAGAAGATCATAACGAGCAGATCCCAGTCCATCTTCTGAGAAGGAGACTTCATCTCCAGCACTGTTGTTGAACTGCACATTGCTCAAATAGGGAAGAATCTGAAAGAAAGGAGACCTTCAGAAATAGGAGTATTTGGTTAGAGCTACAATTATGGCTTCTATCAGAACATGGTGACCATCTTGAGAAGATGAGTTCATGTCTGAAAAGCTAGAGGAGTTCTCTTGGAGAACTGAGGAATCTGCAGTACCACCAAATATTTAATTCTGAAACTACAAATGTTTTTTCTTTGGTCTTTGTATCATGGTTTCTTCCAATCAAGCTTTTGTTGAGCTGCACAGTATTGTTGAACTGTACATTGCTCAAATAGGCAAGATCTGGCTCATTGTCAAAGGCAACAGAATGCAGGAACCAGATTTGATCAACTGGGCCATGTGGAAGGAAGCATCTGATCTGGTTGGACACTTCACTATTCAGAGAGGTGCAACATTTTAGCCTTTGATGCAGAAAATTCTGATGAATTTCAGACCAGGAACCCATTAGGACCACTTTGAATCTTGCTCTGTGCTGTGGTTGTCATAGAAACAGAATCACAGTATTGGAAGGGACATTGGAGATCTTCTAGTCCAACCCCCTGCTCAAGCAACAGACCCTCTACCGTTTCAGACAATGCTGCTATGCTGTCTCTCCTTAAATGACTCCAGAAATGGGGCTCCCATGACTTCTAAAGGTAAACCGTTCCTTAAGAAATTTCTCCTTAGTTCTAGGTTGCTTCTCTCCTTGGTTAGTTTCCATCCATAATTAATCAGAAGCTCTTTCCACAAAGCAAGCTGAGTACCACAACAAATGGTAAACTAAAAAAAAGTGCAGGGTCTCAGATGAATTGGAATGGAAGTACACAGACATTTAATCAGTAACTGAAGAAATTCATATGGGGAGCTTCCAATTAAAGTGTCTGTGGACTGAGTCAAAAGCCCCAGAAATTACCTGCCATGACTGGACATCTGAGATCCTCTTTCCAAGCCTCATCATGGTCGGTTGAACTCTGGATCCATGCATTGCATGTAAAGCGTGTGCCAGAGCATAAACGGCATTGTAGATATTGTAACTGTCACCTGTCATTCTTTTTTCAATAGTGTAATTGGGCACATTCTGCAGATTCTCCTTTCCTGTACATTGTTTTTCCCCCTTTGGTGGGATCTCTCCTGTTTTATGGATCTTGCAGCCAAAGACAAATTCCCACCATACGGGGAGAAAGACGTCTCCTTGGGGGTTCAAGGGGTCTAAAGATAGGAGGAAGTGGCTGAATTCTGAGACGTCCCCGGAATGGTCCCTAAAATGCAAGGCTCCATGCAAAGGCTTTATGTATTGCAATGTGTATTCAGATTGTGCGATGCTAAGTTTCCAATGGGAAGTGAAAATATAAACATTCCTAAATGATACTTTTTTGTATTTTTCAAAAAACTGTACTGCCCCTATTACAGTGCTAATAATAGTGTAGTCTCCAAAAAGAGTAAACACTTCTGTGTTAGACAAGGTAGGAAAATTGAGAATTAATTTCTTCACAGTGATTTCAAAATTATCCAATTCCAGCATTACAGTGAAGGCCAGGCAGATCTCCTTCTCCTGGAGCATTGGCATCAGAGTTGAAATGAAACCTTCTCCCCTGTCATCTTCAGGGGCAAAAAGCCCAACCCAGTTCCACTGGAAATACAGGAGCAGCTGGACTAAACCCACATACTGAGGAGATTCCTTGGGATTAATCTGGATGAAGGAAGGATAAACTTTTCTCTCTCCCTGGGAGAACTCAAAGCCAACACCGAGCTGGAGAAAAAGAGATTCATCTTTCAAAGACAAAGTAAAAGTTTTATGGTGACTTAAGTAGTGACCATTGTGTGGTTGATGGCCCCCCAGTCAGACTGACACACTTTGACTGGAAAACTTCATCTTCTTCCCTTCTTAGCCTTTTTTATTGGTTGTCAGAAGACAAGAAAAGAAATGAAGAACCTGATACAGAGAATAAATGGCACTAAAATGAGGGCTACCCTTTAATAAAAAATAAGTTAAGAGTCAGAAGCTCATTATATCCCCCCCCCGAACAAAACAGTAGATTTGTTTTTTTATTTTTTAAGCTTTATTATTAGTTCAAACAAGCAGACTTACAATCATAACATAAAAACACACACATATCAAGCAAGATGATACCCAAATCTTTCACACGCTGTCTGGAGCAAAGATACATCAAGGGCGGCCAGTTTCCACAGTGGCCAAAGTTAGATTCTGTGCAGAAGCTTGAAGGCCAATGCTAAAGTTTTTATTAATAACTGGCACCATAACTTCATGGCCTTGCTTCTGTGATCAAGAGACAAAACACTCGTTTTAGATTCATCTTTGGCTTCTCTATGTGCCTTTGAACTTTTCTTCCCATACTGTATCCAAGAGAGCTCTCTTACCTGTGGGACCTTAAAGATGCTGAAGATGGAGGCCATCAGCCTTGAGGACTTGGCACTGAGACCACCAATGACGGACAGCAGAGTGTCCTGCAGGTCACATTTGTAACCTGGAACCACTTGGCCTCGTGAGGAGAGTATGGAGAAGCTTTTTAAGGAAATCTCAATCTCCCTCTGAAAATGGCCATAGATGTGGAAGCCAAGGGAGATGTTGGGGAGGAGAAGAAAATCCTTATTGACCTCAGAGACAGCAAACATCAATGAAAGGAACTGCTGGTAGTTACCGGTGATGAGTCTGTCATGAGAAAAACATTGGGGAACATTACAGGAAAGTTTGTGCATGGCTGTAGAATTTGCTTCACTGTTTGGGGGGACATTTGGGGGGGAGGAACTCCGAAATTTCATTGGGTTTGGGTTTTTTTCGACAAAGGATTTTTCTTGGCTAAACTTGGATGACTTTGTGAGAAAGGAGAGAAGCCTTTCCATAGATATCATGGACTGTTTTATACTCTCTATCATCCCTGCCATATTCACTTTGCTGCAGTGGCTGTAATCCTTTCCATCTGCTCCCCTTTCACCGTAATTATTTAAGGTCTCTCTTGGAGCAGCTTCTTCAGGTGTGATAAACTTTTCTGAGCACAGGACTGTAGTGGGGGTCACCTCATCAATTTACTGAAGGCCATTATACATGAGAAGTGCTGATTCCAATTGCCAAGAGGGATTTTTGTAACACCTTGAGCTTTTATTTGAATTTCTTACCACAAGTTACTGTTCAGATTAATATTATAATTTGACTTCTTCACTAGGCCAGCACAGCTTCCGTCTTCATTTCTGTTGTTTATTATGTTCCTGATGAAGAGATTGAGAATTCCAGACTATTTGAAGAGCTTGCTAATTTATTGAGAAAAGCACAAAATGTGCACTACACTAGGACAGTACAAATACTAGAAGTATTTTTGAAAAAAGTCCCTGAATTTAAAGCAAAGAAACAATTTATCTGCATGTTTCCCTTCCAGCTGAAACTTACAGAATATCTAAAACAAGATTCACTGTATTAAAGTCTAGGACAGGAGACTTTGCAATGAATCCCAAGGGCAAATTCCCACCAATAATGAGATCACCAGGCCTATAGTAGCTTTCCTTTAACTTGATATAATCCCTGAACACACATATGGTTTGCAGCCTCTTCGCTGTAGTTGGAGCCAGGAGCCAGAAGAGCATCAGCATCAAAAGTAGCATAACTCCTGCCCAGTCATTCTTCACACACATATGGTTTGCAGCCTTTTCAGAGAAGTTGGAGATAGGAGCCAAAAGGGCATCAGCAGTAGCATGACTCCTGCCCCATCTTTCTTGTCTTCTTCCCTCCTAGAACAGAAAAGAAACTTTGTGCAGAAACTGATTTGAAGGTTGCTCCTGAAATCTCACTGGAACTTTAGCATAGCAGACACCACCTGTGCCACCTGGATGGCACCAGGACAAATTTATAGCAACAACACTTCCTCGTATCTGTCTTTGGGCCATGACTATAGAGGAAACAAAGGCATGGGAGTCTCTTCCATCCCAGGAGTGAGCTCTTTGCAAGGCAGGCTAAGGTGATATGTTCTGCCCCCATTTGGAGAACTCAGAGATATTTTTTTAAAGCAAGGTTTATTTTGTAAGATTTTGTATCTAGAAATCCACAGGGGACACACTATGAATTACTGTACTTCTGATAATTGCAAGGAAAAGCAATTGTTCTACCCATGGAGCAATAGCTTCTCATTCACCAGAATGGAAAAACATGTTTATGTGTCTTGTAATGCACAGGATAGATGGAGTCATGCTGAAGTTGTGAATTTGACCTCCATGAAACTGACCCCTGGCATACAAGATGGAGTTTGGCCTGGACCATAGTTGGTCAGCTAATATGAGAGTAAAGTGGTTTGGGGGCGTACAACTATCAGTTGTATCCTTGTAACTCAATTCAATTCAAACCTTTATTGTCAGTGCACAACATATGTACAATGAGATTGGTTGAGCTCCCTCAGTGCGCCCCTTCCAACACAATATAATTCACAGTAAAGACAGAAAATCCTTAAGCCAATAAATCATATTTAGAAAACACCCAGTCCTATTGCACCAGTGGGAACATGTTACACATTGCGCTGGCCCTGCAGTCCATCTTACTACGTAGTTATGATTTTATTTCTCATTCAGGAGTCTGACAGCCCATGGATAAAAACTGTTCTTCAGCCTGTTTGTGTGGCTGCCTATACTTCTATATCTCCTTCCCGATGGTAGGAGGGTAAAGAAGTGTTGACTAGGGTGAGAGTGTGTCAGGGCATTGATTAATCCCATGTTTGGCTCTGGGACAAATCACCCTGGTTTAATTAGAGGATGGATCGTGGCTCCTCCTTGTTGCAATATTCTGAAAAGAAACGCGAAGAAAAGTTCTCTAATAAAACTCATTTATTTGTTATAAAGAAAATAAAACACCTCACTAACTAAGAAAGTTAATTGCTACATTTTGAAAATAGCTTTTGCCGGCTATTTCTCAGCTGGACCTTTCTGGAAAGAGAACAAAGGAAAAAGTGTGTAGCAAGTGAAAGAATGCAGACATGTGTAGTAACTTTTGATAACAATTCTTGGCAAGGTACGGAAAGTCTGATAGTCCAGAAATAATGAGCTCAGCTGGTAAATAAAATAACGCAGTGACAGAGTGTCGTCCCTGAGAATTTTCCTCAGTCTTCTAAGGCAACGAGCCCTAGTGAGCAGTCATGCCAATGCTTGGATGGAATAACCAGGTTTTTAATAACCACATGGCAGGGGATGAAATTAGAAACTGGGATAACAAAGGATGGGTATATAGTGTTATGTGAGTCTCTCCTTCACCTGAAGGTGGTTCCATTCAGTGTTGGTTGCAGGAGTGAGACTGAGCCAAATCCATTGACTTTCAGGGTGCATCTGGAAAGCCTTCTCAGTTTGAGGTCAGGTATCATTTGTATGCTGATGATATTCAGTTGTACAACCAATGATTGACCAAGCGGTGCTATCAAGGTTTCCCCCAGCTGCTTCCCCCTGCCGCAGGGAGATGGAACCGACCAGGTGGTTCTGTCCCAGGTGCCTGATGGACCCTGAAAGGTTCCTGATGGAGTTTGGGCCGTTTCCTGAGACTCTGGCACACGACTCGACTGAAGAGCTGGTGGCTGCCTGGGATAGTGTGGCTGCCGGAGCTTTGGACCAGGTCGTGCCTTTGCTGCCTCTGACCCGATGCCAATCTCAATTGGCACCTTGGTTCTCCGAGGAGCTGAGAGAGATGAAGCTTCAGAAAATACACCTAGAGAGCATCTGGAGGACTAGTCAATCCGATTCTGACTGAACACTGGTGAGGTCTTATATCAAGACCTACCTAGTGGCGATAAAAGCGGCAAAATTTAATTATTTTTCCACTCTTATCGCATCTGCAGAGAACCGCCAGCTGCTCTGTTTAGGGTGACCCACTCCCTTCTTCAGGGGGGGAGTGCGGGAAGATCCCTTGCAGGGTCAAGCTGAGGATTTTGTGCAATTTCTGCATGATAAAGTCGCTCAGATTCGGAAAGGCTTGGACTCCGACTGGGTGAGATCAGGGGAGGAGACGGGGGTAGGTCTTGAGAATATTATCTGGGAAGAGTTTGATCCTGTGGTTCCCAAGGATGTGGACAGGATTCTCAATAGGGTTAGTGCTGCCACTAACCCTATCGCTGAAGGGACACGGGTTTATTGGACCCTTGTCCCTTCTGGTTGGTACTGGCTTCCCAGGAGGTTACACAAGGCTGGCTTCAGGGGATTATAAATGTTTCTTTGAGTGAGGGTACCTTTCCCGCTGCCTTGAAAGAGGTGGTGGTGAGGCCCCTCTTCAAGAAGCCATCCCTGGACCCAGCTATGTTAGGTAACTACCGTCCGGTCTCCAACCTTCGCTTTGTGGCAAAGGTTGTTGAGTGTGGTGGTGGCACGACAGCTTCCCTGGTACCTGGATGAAGTTATCTATCTGGACCCGTACCAGTCGGGCTTCAGGAGGGGTACAGCATGGAAACAGCATTGGTCACATTGGTGGATGATCTCTAGAGGGCTCAGGACAGGGGTTGCTCCTCTGTCCTAGTCCTATTAGATCTCTCAACGGCTTTTGATAATATCGACCATGTTATCATGCTGCAGCGGTTGAGGGGGTTAGGAATAGGAGGCAGCGTGCAATGGTGGTTCTCCTCCTTCCTCTCTGACCGTTTGCAGTTTGTGTTGGCAGGGGGGCAGAGGTCGACCTCGAGGCGCCTCGCATGGGGAGTGACACAAGGGTCGGTCCTCTCGCCCCTTCTGTTCAACATTTATGTGAAGCCGCTGGGTGAGATCATCCATGGTTTCGGGATGAGAGTCCATCAGTATGCTGATGACACTCAGTTGTACATCTCCACCCCAGACCACCCCAATGATGCCCTTGATGTGATGTCCTGCTGCCTGGAGGCCGTGCGGGTCTGGATGGGGAGAAATAGGCTCAGACTCAACCCTTCCAAGACCGAGGGGCTGTGGCTTCTTTCGTCCCGATATAGTCAGCTGGTGCCATCGCTGACTATTGAGGGTGAATCTTTACCCCCCACAGATGTAATGCTCTCTACATGGGGCTCCCCTTGAAGAGCACTTGGAAGCTCCAACTGGTCCAGAATGCGGCCACATGGGTGGTTATGGGCGCGACTCGTTGCGCCCATGTGACACCTCTCCTGCGCGAGCTGCACTGGCTCCCAGCGGTCTTCCGGGTGCAATTCAAGGTGTTGGTTACCACCTTTAAAGCGCTCCATGGCTTAGGACCTGGGTACCTTCGACACCAACTTCTACCACAAATAGCCGCCCACCGGCCAGTCCTCTCCCACAGAGAGGGTCTCCTCAGGGTGCCATCGGCCAAGTTATGTTGACTGGCAACACCCAGGGGAAGGGGCTTCTCTGTGGGAGCTCCTGCCCTATGGAACGAATTGCCCCCAGAAATAAGCAAGATCTCCGACCTCCGTGTGTTTCATTGTGCCCTTAAGACCCTGCTGTTCTGCCAGGCAGGGCTATCTATGTAAATGATTTTAAATTGGGTGTTTTAAACTTTGGGTTTTAAATTCGGGCCAAAATTGTTTAATACTTTTAACTATTTTAAAACTGTTGTTTGTACCTTGTATTTTTAATTGGCTGTACACCGCCCCGAGTCGTTCGGGAGAAGGGCGGTATATAAATTAAATAATAAATAAATAAATAAATAAATAAATAAATAAATAAATAAATAAATAAATAGGTTTTGCCATTGTGCATGAAGGTTGGATGGGAAGGGAGAGTCTCAGTTTGAATCCTAGCAAAAACAGGCAGCTGTGCATGATTGGTTCTTTCAGAAGTGGAATTTTTCATCTTTGGTTCATCATGACATTGAACTGTAATGCTTAGGACTCTTCTTCACTCTAGGATCTTCCTGGACTAATAGTTTCTGCTCAAGGAGCAGAATGGTACCTATCTCAAGAAAGAAGTGTGCCTGCTTGGAGAATAAGTCAATCACAGTGCAGATCATGGCTAAATTTTGGAGGGAGTTCCTGCAGTCCATTGGGTCATCCCAAGGCCTTAGCTTGGTCTTTCATCCGAGCACCAATGGGAGGGTAGAGAGACTGAACGCCATGGTAGAACAATACCTGAGGTGTTACGTGAACTACCAGCAGTCCAATTAGGCAGACCTCTTGCCATTCGCTGAGGTCAGGTACAATAATGCTGTTCACAGTAGCACGGGACTAACCCCTTTCAAGGTAGTAAGTGGTGTGGGCTTTGTCCCAATGCCAGAATATCCAAGGGATCCCCCTTCTTCAGTCAGTCTGACAGACTGACTGTCAGAGTTCCAACCAATGCCCTAGTAAAATCAAGAACCTCAAGCAAAGTTTCAAGGAAAATCCAGTTGTTTATTTGGAGTGTCATGTCGGCACTGACCAATTGAAGCCAACTCAATGTCAGCATTCCAGAATGTTCCAACTCCAATTAAAAACTCCAAGACAATCTTCATCTCAAAATCTTTATTTATTGGAATAGGTATACTGGCACATCTAGGAAAACCCGAATATGAGAGTTCCGGGTTTTCCCTCAATAAATCAAAACCCCATATCCAGCCCCTGCACCCATCAGTCCATCACATGGCCCAGTCACCATCTGTCCCAACTTGAGACACCTCTGCAAACACTCTTCCTCCAGATGCAGGAGCACTATGACCTTGACCAAAGAGAAGAATGCTATTATGTCTAACAAAAACCACTCTATCAAATCCCCCTCCTACTTTCCCAAGCGCAAGAAGGTGGCAGCATGGAAGCTTCTGAGGTTAATATGGCTTCCGAGGTTAATATGGCTTCCAAAGCTGAAACTCTGACTTCACTCAATTTGCGCCTTGCCTCTGACCCAGTTTTCCCCTCCCTCCAACATGTGTCATCAGTCACATTCCCCAACGAAGCAATTTCTTAGGGTGTAGAAGTCACTCCCTCCAGCCGTTACTGGTTTCTATGGCGATGGCCTTGACTTTGGCCAGCTAGGTCTTTGTAAATGTTCTGTCAGGTGCAAAACATTTGGATCAGACATGAACTTCCAACTAGACTGATTAATTTCTCATCATACGAGCAGTAACTTTCTCAATTAATGTTTAGCACTAAGGGTTAATGGAATTCATGAGGGATTGGACTTAGTTTATTTGTGGCTATGTAGAGACTTTAGGCTGATTCCTCTTTTAACTCCATGCCCAGGTTCTGCCACTCCTCCAATAGGTTAAGTTTGTTAAACAGAACGAAATTGAGCAGTGGAGAGTCAACTTGCATGAGAGCAACAGAGGTGATGGAGGCAAGAGGGGTGGAAGAGTGGAGGCAGAAAGTCAGGAGTTCTTGGGAACAAAGCTACAGTTGAGAGATACCCAGCATGAATTCATCCTTGAAAGATGGGTGTGTTCACCCACCTATGAAGGATTACTTGGTTTGGCTAATACTCAAGAAACAATTCCTGGGTCCTACCATAGTGAATGAAAGCTATTGCTTAACATATTGCTTAGCGCATTGTAAGCAGCCCTGAGTCTCCGGAGAAGGGAGTCACTGTCAGCTCCCAGGCAGTTCAATTTCACTATCTCTAGTGGTGAGATAAAGCAGATGGCTCAAAGCAAATTCCTTCCCCCCACCCTAAAATGACCTAAGGCACATTCCTTCCCCACTCCCTTTTTCCCACAAGGTACAGCAAAGCAATGCAAATGAAACCCTGCATAACCCCCACACCCCAAGCGTCCCCTTCCCACCAGAATGGCAGCATCCCAATAGAAATCTATGGGACCGGACATGTAACCAATTGCAGCACATGAGAAGGAATTTTTTAATGGACAAGTTCCTCCTTCTTGTCATCTTTTTTTTAAAAAATCAGATTCTAAACATGCCTGAAAGACAAATATAAATGAGGCACTTATATTTGCCTTTGCATTAGTTAGAAATTTTTATTTCTTACTATATTTTCTCTACAATTCAGATCCGGCCTCAGTAGAATAATGTAGCATTTGGGGAAAAAGATACAAGCCAAGAGAGCAGCTCCAGAGGACAAAATAGAGAAAATCTCCACAGCCGTCATGAATTTCCCTTTGGTGCTGAGGTAGGTGGGGAGGAAGGAGATCCAAACACTGCAAAAGACCAGCATGCTAAAAGTAATGAACTTGGCTTCGTTAAAACTATCAGGCAATTTCCTAGCTAAAAATGCCACTGTGAAACTGATGAAGGCCAAAAAAGCTAGATAGGCAAGGACAATGTAAAACATTAAAGCTGAGCCTTCCTTGCATTCCAAGATGATTTCTCCAAACAAGGAGTGAAAGTCACAGCTGGGAAATGGAGGAGAGGTTCCCAGCCAGGTGGCACAAAGAAGTGCTTGGATCAGGGGACAGGCTATGACAATGGAGTTGGTCAGTGGTTTTCCTAAGAGTTTCCTTGTTCTGTTCCCTGGTTTGGTGGCCATGAAGGCCAGAACCACCATGACAGTTTTTGCCAACACAGAGGAAACTGCCAAGGAAAAGAGAATGGCAAAGGCAGATTGTTGGAAGAGACAGGTGATCTTCCCTGGTTGACCAATGAAAAGGAAGGAGCAGAGGAAGCAGAGCAGGAGGGAGACCAGGAGGATGTAGGTGAGATCTCGGTTGTTGGCCTTGACAATTGGAGTGTCATGATGTTTATAGAAAATCACCAGGACTGCAGAAGTGATCACAGAGAGAAAAAGAGTGAGAGAAACTAAAGTGTATCCCAGGGTGTCTTGATAGGCAAGGAAGTGGATCTTCTTGGCAATGCATTGGTCCTTGTCCTTGTTGGGATATTGGTCTTCTGGGCAGGGTTCACAGTGAGCTGCATCTGAAATCAAAAGTCTTTGTCTAAGGATTCCTTCAGCAAGTACCATGCAGACTATTCCTCCCACATAAATGATATGAGTGTTGCCATTTTGCTGTTGACCTACCTACAAAGGGAGTAATGTCCCCCTGGAGCTCTGGGTGGCCCCTGACCTGCGTTCTTTCTGCCGTGACCTTAAGACATGGTGATTCCGCCAGGCCAGATTGGACTGAAGGGGTTTTTAAGGGGAGTATTAATGGTTTTTAACATTTAATATTGATTTTATCTGTTTTTATTGCTGTGAGCCGCCCTGAGTCCTTCCGGAGAGAGGGCGGCATATAAGATAGATAGATAGATAGATAGATAGATAGATAGATAGATAGATAGATAGATAGATAAATAAATAAATAAATAAATAAATGTCCCCTATGCTATTTATGGCGAATTAAAAAGAGCAAATAATCCTTTGTTTATGATGATCCTGAGAATAGATTAGCCAGAGACAAGGATTTATCCAGTTCCAGCTGTCCTTTCACTGTGCATTTCCATTTCCACTGTGCATTTCCAGGATGAATGTCCTCTTTCCCTGGCAGGTCTATTAACTCAGAGGTTGATAGTGGTGACAGAAGAAGCATAATATAAATAATAAAAATTAAACCTTGGACCACACACCCCACTTCCTCACGAAAGATTGGAAGGCACTTTTTCCAATAGGAGGTTAGAGTAGGAGTGGAAATCCAAGTTGGACATTCATAAATTCTGCCCTAAAGCTATCCTGCATGGAACTGCTGAGGATCGGGAAAGGTGGCCTCTGTGGCCAGGGCAGTTTATATCTGTAAACTGAAAGGTTTTGCTGAAAAATATGATTTCATGTCGATCTTCTTAAAATGACAAAAATGACTTAATGAATATCTTCTTTGATCCTGGAAGATCTATATTTGAAGTCCTGTTTACCTGTCTGATTAGAAAAGGTCCCTTCTGGACAAGCCTCACAATGGTAGCAGCAAACCGGCTCTCCCTCTGGAACTCTTCTCCTCTCTCCTGCATGGCACCTCTTGATGCCACACCTGGCAAAGGGCACCTTCTGAAAGAGAAAAAAGAAATACTTGAGATGGCCTAAGCAATGAACCTGCTGCATTCATTCTTTTCCCCATTCCTATTTCCCTTCCTTATTCCTACTTCTATGTTCAGATTCTCTTCTAAAGAAACATATTGCCACTGTCTATCAGAACAGTCCTGAGGGATTCAGGCCAGTGGCATTCCTGACACACCCATGAATGTGGGAGATTAATATTGTGGGAGATTGAAACTGGAGTCTCAGTTTGCAGAGGAAGTCTTGTGATGGGACAAGAGAATTTCTAAAAGAAAGAACTGTCAGGATACAACTGAGAGGAAGTGATTCGCGGAAATCACTTTTGCTTCCTTTTAATTGCATCCTGTGTTTCAAGCAGAAGTCAATTCCAAGTCTAATTCTTTCTGGAATGACATAAATCAGACCTCAAAGGTGTTGTGTGCAAAGCAGATTTTTCACCAAATGCCATAATTTCTGATTCAATTGATCATTTTTCAAGTTAGAAAGATGTTCTGCATCTCAGGAAGAGAATGACTCTTTCCCTGAACTTACAACATTTCCTTGCAGCTCACCTTTGTGGCCCAGACGATTCCATCAGAGTTAATGGTGAAATCTTGGCCTGGGGGAGCCTCAGGATTTACTTGCCCAACTTTTATGGGAACAAAGGATCGATTGGGGAGGAGAATCCAATTCAAAAGATCAAAACGAGCAGATCCCAGTCCATCTTCTGAGAAGGAGACTTCATCTCCAGCACTGTTGTTGAACTGCACATTCCTCAAATAGGCAAGAATCTGAAATAAAAGAGACCTTTAGAAATAGGAGTATTTAGTTAGAGCTACGGTTATGGCCCTCTTTATGGATTACTGCCGTGTTGTGGCAAAGGGGCTTGCGTAGCTCAATGAAGCTATGAGCTATACCATGCAGGGTCACCCAAGATGGACAGGTCATAGTAGAGAGCTCTGACAAAACGTGACCCACTGGAGAAGGAAATGGCAACCCACTCTAGTATCTTTGCCATGAAAACCCCCTTTTGGTAGTACCAAAAGGCAAAAAAATATGACGCTGGAAGATGAGCCCCTCAGGTCAGAAGGTGTCCAATATGTTATTGGGGAAGAGCAGAGGGCTAGTCCTAGTAGTGCCAGAAAGAATCAAGCTGTTGTGGTCCACCAGCAGCCTGCGGAACTAATAGCAGAGTCAGACAGCGATGGGGCTGAGGAAGAACATGGACCAGTCCTGGAGGCTGGGGAAGGCCTGGATGAGGGCTCTGCATCGGAGGCAGAGATGGAGCCAGGGCCATAGGGGAGTGATGCACGGACTTCGGAGCCTCCAGAGGCTGACAGTAGAGAGGCAGAGGAACAGAAGGAGCCTGTTCCTAGTGCATGTATGAGAAGAACTGCCAGAAGGCAGGAGGAGCTAAAGCAGAGAGGACAACTCTGGAGTAGGTCCAAGAGATGATTGGCCCCTCTCATGAGGCTTAAAAGACCAGCAACGGCTCTTGGCCCCTTTGCCGGAAAACAACCGTTGAGAAATTTGCTTCGTGTTTGGATGTATTTCTTTCTTTCTTTTTTTTTTTTTATTGCAAAAGTTTTACAATTACATTTTCACCCCTTTTTTCACCCCCCCACCTCCCTCCCCAAACTTCCCGTCCTCCCTAACCCTCCCTAACCCTCCCCCCCAGACTTCCCTATTATGTACTCATAACTAATAACACTGATATATATACCTGAACCCATCCCTCCCCCTACATAATTTTCCCTCTTTATCTCTTTATATTAAAATATTTCTAATACATTGTTTTCAAATAAAAGCTATTTGATACTTTCTAATTTGGTATTTGTTCTGAACATATTCTATCCACCTTTTCCATTCCCATTCATAAGTCTCTTGTGAACAATCTTTTAAATATGCTGAAATCTTCGCCATCTCTGCAAAACTGGCCATCTTCGAAGTCCATTCCTCGATAGTAGGCAAAGCTTCATTCTTCCAATATTTACCTATCAACAATCTTGCTGCTGTTATCATATACAATATTAATTTTGTTTCATCCCGTGTAAGACCCTTAACTATGCCCAATAAAAACAATTGTGGAGAAAATTGAATTTTTTTCTTCAAAACATTCTGCATGACCCACCATATTTTTATCCAAAAAGCCTTAACTTTCCTACAGGTCCACCAAACATGATAATACGTAGCATCCAAACATTCACATCTCCAACATTTTGGCTGAACATTAGGGTACATACATGACAACTTTTTAGGATCTAAATGCCATCTATAAAACATTTTATAAAAATTTTCCCTCAGATTCTGCGACTGTGTAAATTTAACATTCTGAACCCAAATTTTTTCCCATGTTTCCAACATCACTGGTTCTTCAAAATTTTGTGCCCACTTAATCATGCAATCTTTAACTAATTCCGTTTCTGAATCCCTTTCTAGCAAAACATTATAAAGCCTTTTAATATGCATTGGACCTTTCTCTCTTATATGTCTAACCAATTCTTCCTCATGCAACATAATACCAGTTTTTTGGTCCTCTTTCCATCTCAATTGTAATTGATTATATTGTAACCAGGTTAAATTAATCCCTTCATCCAACAGTGTCTGCAATGTCTTCAGCTGCCATCTGCCCGCATCTGTAAAAAGAACCTCTTTGTATAAAAACCCCCGAGTGACATTATATTTGTATTCCACAAGGTATGACCAAGATCCAGCCATAGCGGTATTTTATAATCCCATTTGAGTCGGTGCTTCTTCCAAACTCTCATCAAAGAGTCTCTAAGTATATGACTTTTAAATACTTTATCAACTTTATCATCATAAAATAGGTAAGCATGCCATCCAAATTCAAGATCAAAACTTTCTGCATTCAATATTCCAGCTTTTTTACCCCCAAACCAATCACTTGTTAAAGTTAAAGCTGCTGCATCATAATATAACTGTAGGTTTGGAAGTTTAAGGCCTCCTCTTTCTGGAACATCTTGCATAATTTTCAATTTCACTCTCGGCTTTTTCTCGTTCCAGACGAACTTATTAAGTCCAGTTTGCCAAACTTTCAGTTGTTTATCACTTTTAAGCACCGGAATCATTTGAAACAAAAACAGAAATCTTGGCAAAATGTTCATCTTAACTGCTGCTATTCTTCCAAGTAAAGACAGTTGCAGCTTTTTCCAAGTCTCCATGTCTTTCTGAACCTCTCGCCACAACACCTCATAGTTATTTTGAAACAATTTCATGTTTGATTCTGCAACCTGAACTCCAAGATATTTTACCTTAGGTACAATTTCAAAACCTGCCCTCCTTTCAAGCTCATGTTTACGATCTTGTGTCATATTTTTGACTATCATTTTAGTCTTTTTTGAATTCAGTCTAAAACCTGAAACTCTACCATAGTCTTGTATAATGTCATTCATCAGGATTGTTGATTCCATTGGTTGTGATAGGGTAACCACCAGATCATCTGCAAATGCCTTTATTCTATAATCCTCTTGCCTTATCATTATGCCTTTCAAGATATTAGAGTCCCGTATTGTATTTAGCAAGACTTCTAGTGTTAAAATAAATAAAAGTGGGGACAACGGACATCCCTGTCTTGTTCCTTTTTCAATTTTAAACTCTGTCGTCAAACTTCCATTAATAATAATCTGTGCTTTTTGCTCTTGATAAATTGCTGAAATCGCCTGTGTAAATTGGTCCCCAAAGCCCATCTTTTTTAAAGTCTTTAGTAGAAAATTCCAATCCACTCTATCAAAGGCCTTCTCCGCATCCAAAAAGACCAGCACTGCAGAAATCTGTTTATTCTTATCAAGATATTCCAATAAGTCTATTACTTGCCTTACATTGTCCTTCATGTATCTGCCCTCAATAAATCCCGCTTGGTCCTCATGAATCACCTTTTGGATTACTGGCATCAACCTGTTGGCTAATACCTTCGCATAAATTTTATAGTCTGTGTTCAAAAGAGATATTGGTCTGTAGTTCTCTGGTTTTTTAGGACCAACTTGTTCCTTTGGTATCAAAGATATATAAGCAGTTGTCCAGGATGGGGGTATTTTACCCCCTTGTTGAATATTGCAAAATAAATCTCTAAGTTGTCCCACCATTTCAGCTTGTAAAGTTTTGTAATACACTGCAGTCAAACCATCCGTGCCAGGAGCTTTAGCTGTTTTTAGCTGTTTAATTGCTGCTATTATCTCCTCCTCTGTTATAAGATAATTCATTCTTTCCTTTTGTTGATCAGTAATTTTTGTAACTCTCTTATCCTTTAAATATTTTTCTATAAGTCCATTCTGCACCTCTTCTTTAGCATATAGTTTAGTATAATAATCCACCAAAGCTTCTTTAATTAATTTTTGTTGAAAAATTTCTTTCCCTCCAATATCGATACTGTCAATAGTCCGCATACTTTGTTTTTTCCTCAATGTGTAGGCCAACCATCTGCCCGGTTTATTAGCATTGCAAAATGTATTATGCTTCGCGTATTGTAAACTTGTTGCAACTTGTTCCGCCATAAGCATTTGGAATTGGTCTTTCAAAAGTTTTATAGCACTTCGTATTCTTTCATCTGTTGGGTTTTTAATAAGTAACTGTTCTTTATTCTTTATTTCCATTTCCAACTCAGATCTTTTCTTTTGTCGGAACAGTCTATGTTTAGAATTCATGTAGATAAGTACCCCTCTCATATAAGCTTTACTTGCATCCCAAACAATTTCAACTGGGGTACCTTTATTCAAATTTATTTCAAAAAATTCTTTCAAATGCTTTTTAAGTTCTATTATATTTTTTTCATATCTAAACAAGTTCTCATTTAATCTCCAAGAACGTCTCTCAACCTTATCCATCTCGATTTCTATCCATACAGGACTATGATCAGTCAAAGTTCTTGGAAAAATCTTTGTTCTTTTTGTCTTAACAAGTAGATCATTTGACAACAAGATAAAATCAATCCTAGAAAAGGATCTATGTCTATCAGAAAAAAAAGTGTAATCCAATTCATTTGGATTATGTATTCTCCAAACATCTTTTAGTTCCATATCTTCTTTCATATCAAAAAAGGTCTGTGGTAATCTAATTCTAGACTTTGCCAAGCTCTTTTTATCTAATTTAGAATCAATTACTCCATTCCAATCTCCCATAATTAAAATAGATCTGTAGTCCCATTGCAATATTTTAGTATGTAACATCTTGTAAAAATAATCCTGTTGTTGGTTGGGAGCATAAATTCCAATCAAAAGAATTTGACCATTTGCTGTAAACAATTCAATTGCTACAAATCTACCATCTTGATCTACTTCTATAACTTTTGCTGTTAATTTTTTATTTACATAAATAACCACACCATTCTTTTTCTGCGAAGTTGAAGATATATAATGTGCTCCTAGTTTTGAGTTTATCAAATATTTTTGATCTTGAGTTGTAATATGCGTTTCTTGTAAACATATTATATCATTATTAAATTGTTTCAAATATGTAAATAATTTTTTCCTTTTCTGTGCTGAATTCAACCCATTGACATTCCAAGATAAACACTTAAAGGTCATTAGCCTCTTTCTGGAGCGCAGAGCAATATGCTTGAAGTTCATCCGAGAGCTTCGATCTCGCTCCTCCCATAGCGCCAATCTCTTGTGCAGTGCTCTTAACTGCCTTCTTGTCTTGTCTTTCCTGTTGTTGTTGTTGCTTCTGTTTAAGTAGCTTGGATTGAGCTCTAGTTATACGTTGATCTTTAACTTCAGTCAACTGAATCAAATCCAAAATTGGAGAAGAATCCAGCGATGGCTCACTCAGAATACCT